TTAGATTTCCAAAGACAAGGCTTCCCAACGCCACAAGATGGACAGAAGGTTCTCCTTTAACCAGGGAGCTGGCTTGCCCAGCAGGCGGGAGGCAAACCAATCTAGCAGGGATGCACTTGGCTGCTCAGTGGGCCCAATGGACCCGTTTACCATCTGGGGACTGGAGGAAGACTGCCATTGGCTTTGAGGCCTTTTCAGAGTCACTGGTCAGGATGCCCCTGGTCTTCCAGGACCACGCTGGCACCTGGTAATGTGTCAGAGGTCATGGCAAAGGTGTTTCTGTATTCTCATCAGAGCAGAGACGCAGAAGACTGCAGTGCATGAAAAGCTACTTCCCCTTTCATAGCCCTGGGGAATCCCGCCATGCAGAGTTTGGAAAAGGAAACTGTGGGGGTGATTAGGTTATCCGGAGAATGGATTATAATCTTTATAATGCTTTTCTACTTGTGCATGTCTATATTCCACTTGTCTTTGTAGAATTATTGGATTTCTGTCAGCTAATTTAATTGCACAAACAAGTTTAGAGTAGGAAAAACATAAGCCCAAAGCACCACTATTTACTTCCCTCTGTCGGCGTTCCTGTGGATGTTACCAAAAAATGACATGCTATACGGTGCTAGAAGAGTGTTCCACCGTGTTGGAATCAGTGCACACCTGTCAGTCAGTGCAGCTACTTCACACCGTGTTGTTTGAGATGTTCCAAGAATTGGAGTCATTTAGGTGCTTGCTCAGTTTTGTGTTGCAAGAGCATCCGAGTGTCTCAATATGTATGTGTAGGTTTATAGTATTTAATAATTACCTCACGGGCATTTGGGTGAATAAGGACTTCTGTATTTCACCAGTGCAACAGTGACTACCAGCTCTGGTGCCCCTGAGGTTGGGAACTCATCCAGTTTGGCTTTGGGGTCTTCAAAGGAGAATCTAATATCATTGTGTTTAGTAAAGTGGTTTTTATTTACATCGGAGTTTTGCAAACTACTAACTAAACCAGATAACAAATCACTTACGGTAGCATATTAGAACCATTGACCTCAACTGTAAAAAAAAAGGGGGTGGGGGGACAGGGCATATTCACACCAAACATTTAATATCGTAAAATAGGTTTGCTAGAAATTAATTAAGGTACACCACACATATATTGGGACAAGCCATTTAATGAAGTGTGGCCATTTGTTTCTATGTTTGGCAGTGCAGGGTAGTCAGTAAAATCACTAGTCAGCACCATGGCCACCCCACAGGTATCAGAGGAGAGCTGTATTTCATAGCTTTTCTATGATTGATCTTTCTGAATAAATAGTGAAGACTTTTGGAGGAGTGGATATCTCTGAGTAGACTCAAACTTCCATCCCAACATTTGGATTATTCACTGATCACTACACTTTGGGTGCCATCCAGAGACTCTGAGTCATCAACATGATTTTCCATTGGCTTGAGAGAAAATGACCCTTGAGCCCTTTTTTTATCTTGATCGGAGCAGGGTGGAGGTGGACAAGACAGAGGAGTTATCTTCCAGGCCCAAGAAGCTAAAAGGATAGCACCTTCGTGGGTGAGGAGCAGAGAACAAGAAGATGGCAATCACCAGAGGGAACCCTTCCAACTTTATGATAGACAGCAAACAGCTTCTCACCTATTGGAGAGGAGAGTATTTTAAATTCAAAAAGAGTAAGAGAACTGTCTCAAGGATGATTTCTCAAACTCACTGCCATCAAATCAATGCCAATGCATAGCGACCCAATAGGACAAGGGAGAACAGCCCCCGTGGGTTTCAAAGACTAAATCTAGACAGGAGTAGAAACCCTGTCTTTCCACAGGAGTGAGTGGTGGTGTTGACTCGCTGACCTTGCAGCTAAAGCCTAATGTGTAACCAGTACACCACCCACCAGGGCTCCTCCAAAGATTGTTTAGAGCTCCTACTTTCAAACCTTGTCTTTATAGTACGTCCTTGTGAGTCAACTCAATGACTTGCCCTCATTGCCCAAGGCACAAATGCTGTCAGATTTCCAGAAGAGCCAGCCTTCCTATTATAGCAATTCAATGCACCGAGATGGGTTACTTATACCATATAAACTTGAGTATAAGCCGACTCAAATATCACAACTAATTTTACTGAGTATCACAACAAAAACTGCTGTAAAACTGTGCTGAAAAACTTGCCATATACACTAGTCTATATGGTAGTTAGTGGACTAGGACTGTTTGTATAGTGATTTGCCCACATATGTACATAAAACCTACAAATATGCCTCCCATAGTTATTAGTTCCTTAAACTGCATTTGTTGGCTAACTCCATGGTGCAAAGTCCTTTTCTTGCCCAAGGATTCCTTGCATATTTTAGCAGGATACGCAGTCCAAAGAAACATGCTTATTTGTCCTAATTAATCTTCATCAAAAAGCCTACTAGAAAGTCTTCCAGCAAAGCAGATTGTTTGTGATTAACACACAAAACAGATAGAGGGACCTCAGACAGGTCAAGCTAGCGCTTTTCCCAGAATAACACCGTAGCCATGGTCATGCTGTGTGAACAGTGACTAGTTATGTGATGTAACATCCGTAGGTCTGCACAATATAAGGAAACCATCAGAAAATGCGTTCTTAGGGCTCCATTAGGAGTCTATGCTCATACATAGATCTTTCATATCATTTGCATCCATGACAGCAATGTGGGGCCCAGAGGGAGATGGGGTGAAGGGGCCCTCTCAGTGCTGC